TGTAAAACAGGGGACCACAGCAGTCAATGTCCTGCTTCCAAAAAAAGTTGTTAGTATACATTCAAGAGATTGCAGATAGAGGCAAAGCCCACCATAGTCCACACCAGTCTGACCATGGGGTAAAATTCTGTTCTGAACCCAGATGTGGTGATTGAACTGACCCTGACCAGAGGAACAAGACCGTCTAGTCAGGAACATTCAGCTTTAAGTCCCAACAGGAGTATTTGCATGCCCCAGTCACAATCCCTAGCCTGGGCTGCAGCCAACACCCAACACCTCTGAGGAAGGCTTAAAAAGCACCCTGACACATGTAGCAGAAAGGGGTGGGGGTGCAACCAGCAAAGCCCTGAAGTCTGGGAAATACCCATGGGTAGACCCTTGGGTGGCAGGCAGTGGACAGTTCAGGTTTACCCATGTCTGGGGTGCCCCTGTGAGTCTGCCTTAATGGCAGGCAGTCAGGTAATATGCATCTTCCCTGGTGCTGGTGCATCTTGTTGGGGCAGGTCTGAGCTGACCCCTTTCTGGATGATTTGCCACCAAGGCTCTCCTTCATCATCCCTGGCTACGCCGAAGTGTGCTATGCAAAGACAGTTGCTCCTGCTCTTATACTAAGCCCCTTGCTGGCAGAGATGGTCCGCCTTCCCAGGCTCATCCTAGTGGCCCTGGGCACTTTGCAATAGTGTCTGTCTGGCTCCTGCTCCTGTAAAATCCTGGCTGCTGGCTCACTGAGTCTCCTTCAGGCCTCTCTCTGCTCAGCCCTCTGCCTGCAGGCTCCTCTGCTGTGCATCTGGTCTCTGGTGCTTTACACAAGCTCTGCACAGGGCTGCATCTGTTGGCAGTGCATGCCTTCCCCCATCTTCCCTGTGCAGGTCTCTAGCTCCCCGCCTGGCCTTGGCTCCCAGCTTCCCATTCTCTGTGGGGCTTGTTCCTCCCCTAACCATGTCCCTTCCAGAGACAGAGGTCACTTCAAGGGGCTGGCCCTTCACAAAGGGTTTCAATCCTTCTCCCCGTTATGCTTAGGACAGGGGACTGGTTCTGTTCTTCCCTCGGGGGATGCAGCGGTCATTGGGAAAGAGATTGCTGAGAAGAGAAGTTAGTTTCCCACTTAGCCAATTTGCCACAGATCATTGTGGCTACGTGAACTCGCCCAGAGGGCATTTCCTGAGGGCAAGTGGCAACCTAGATCAGATACACTCACTCCCAAACCTCATTTCCGTTCCCCAGGCTCCGTCCTGCTAAGTAAGCACAATCCATCTGAAACCAAAATGTAAGAGGGAGAGCATAGGACCAAACCTTTTCCCTTGCCTGCCCCCTTCCACTTCCAAAGGGCTGTTGGTTTTAGAGGTCAGAGCCAGACAGGAGGCTTGTTATTTTGAGGCTGGCTGCAGCTCTCTGGGAAGCTCTGTGCTGAAGCGACATGGAGCCTCTGATGAGCGGGCTTGGGGGCCTGGCTGTATGGACAGCATGTCGCCTCTCAGTCCAGAGTGTCTGTTTTTCCTGTCAGCTACTGCAAGCTCTGTCACTTGGGCTGTGGAAAGAGATTTGCTGCTCATCCCAGCTGGTTCAACCTGAGGTGCCAGCATTGCAAAGGGGAACTGTGGTCTGGCTTTTTTTTATATATCAAAGGGTAATTCATGTCCAAGGGGAGAGATGGGAACCCAGAGTCCCCCTGGTGTTGGCGAGGTTAGAACCACAGCTGGTGTGGCCTGCCTGGCAGAGGGGGGTCTGGTGATGGGCAAAGAGGGTGACACTGGACGTTCCCCTGTGGGCCACTGAGGGTGGTAATTGAGAGCAGCTTCCAGCTGATCTGACTTAAGCTGAGGGAGCACCAGCCTGTGTCCCCACCCCCTGCTCTTGAGCTGTGTTATGTACCCCTCACCCTCCACTGAGAACCCAGACAGGAACCTCTCCCGTTCTGTAAGTGTTGCGGACGAAGGGCAGGAGGGTGTCTTTGAGACAGGAGGTCCAGGGAACCCCCACAGAGTATGAAAATGCCAAGTTCTTTCATTAACAAAAGTAAAGCCCAAGACCATCAGCTCCTGGTGTGATGGGGAGGGCACTTAGCCAATGGGCAATGGATGCCTCTTTCTTATGGGAGGCACATGTGTGAGCACAGTGCTGTGGTATTCATTTGCAGTGATCACACCTCATAAATATACCTGCCAGTCTGTGGTGGCACTCCAGCTGCAGCAGCTAACCAGGGCTGTCCCTAGGTTTGTTTGTTTGACTGTTCCCAGCTAAGTGATCTGGGTGATGTCAGGAGAGAAAAGGAGAGGCAAAGCAGGGCAGACTGTCCTGGCACATTAAGTGGGGCCCTGGCAATACCCTGCATTGAGGGGTTCATTCTACTTTGGGCCTAGGAGCAAGGGGAGGAGACCTCAGGGTTTGGGATGAGGAGTCTCAGGGCATCAGGGTGTAGGTGGGTATTTGTAAGCATGATTGATTTGTGTTTATAAGGACCAGGCTCCCAATTGAGCAGGCCACACAAAATGTTTGTGGAAGGAACTGTGCTCTTCAGTCAGGTGTTACCCTCCAGCAAAGGTCCCATGTGCAGCTGCTAGGGATACACTATTTCCCAGCATAGTAGGCTCTCATGCCCCCAAAAGGTGCCCCTCAGAGGCCCTCTTACTTACACCCAGGTGCAGTCACTGACTAACATTTAAAAAAAAACCCCTAGGGAGTTAACAGCCACTAATTCTGTGCTGAAGCAACAAAGCCAGTATGTGTGCCCCCCCAGTGAAAAACTAAGCCACTTAATTGTTTGTTCCCCTGCTCCAGCACCCAGTCACACACCTCATTGCTGTGACTATGGCAGTGTGCCACAGCCTGTACACAATTTGAACTCTGCATCCACCACCCTTTTTGCATACAGTCCATTACCAGTTGCCGTCTCTCAACACAACCAGCTGCTGCACCTGCTAGTGGCAGATGGGCGGGAGAGTACTTTGGTGAAAGTGGTGTGTGCAGAAGGGCAAATGGGGTTGGGGTTAAGATGGTCTGTGGTGTACAGCAGCTGCAGTCACAATAAAGTATGTGGGTGAGAGAGGAGCTGAGGGTGTGTGCTGGTAGGTGGCTTGGCTTTCCATCGCTTTGCTTTCACAGGTTCTGTTGTACAGGTCACAAGCCCCAAAGACTTCACAACGGTGGTTTTGTGTATTAATGTCAGTAGCTTCCAACTGACTGCTGGAGGGATTCCACTCCTGTCCAGGCAGAAGTGAAAAGCATGGGGCTTTTATTACCCTGAGTGACCTCACTTCGAAAAACTCTTCTTTTTCTTTTCATTAATTTTAGTCAGGGCTAGAATTACATGGTCTGAAGGAATCCTGAAGACATCCTTTCAGCCAAATGGGCATTGCTTCAGCAGTTCAGGCCAGTTTTCCATTTTCTTTTAATGAGATGAAAATCTTTGGGCATTAGCCTGCAGCCTGGGACTGGACTACATTTCAGGCTCCTAAACCCAGCCCCTGGGAACTCTCTGATCCCCAGAGAAGGTTCCCCAAGCATTTGGCAGGCTCACATTCTATTTTCCTAATGCAGTACTTTTATGTGTGTCATGCATCCAACGCTCAAATGCCCTGTGGCATTTGTATCCATTGCATGCTTTTATCAGGTGAACAACCCAAAAGAGTACAATTATATACCAAGTACAGATTTCACTCATAAACAGATGCACTCAATGCACAGTTCCCCTCTCACATATGCCATGTAATTGCACAATGTGAAGCATGCTTCATTCACAGTTTCCATAAGCACAAAGCACTTGCAGGGAGTCATAGAGAAATAAAATGCATGGCATTCAAGGCCATCCTCCAGTCCCACACACTACCCCCAAGGACCAAGCAAATCATGTTTCTGGGAAATGATCACAAGTGGAATATTTAACCACATAGAAATTGCAGTTGTTCTGCCTGGGCTTCAGACAAGATGGCCAGTGGACAGTTCTGAGCTTATGTTTCAGTCTATGTGTCTTCTTGTTTGCTGAGTGGGGCAGGTGGTACAGCATAGCTTCACCAATGAGTCCTCTTTTGCAGTCGGAAAGCTGGAAACGTGGGTTTAGATGAAAGTTTCTATTATTCAGACAAAAAAACGGGGTAGTAAACCTTAGCCAGTACAGATAGATGCATGGATGGTCTGACCTCTTAGTCGTCAGTGGGGATCAAACCCTGGACTTAACAGCACCTAGAACAAATGCTTGAGCTAGACCAGAGGTGCTCAGCATTTGGCTTGTGGGCCAGATCCAGACCACAGTGGTGTCTCATATGGCCTGTGGAGCTCCCCATGGGTCTGGACATTTGGCAGAGAAGCAGTGCTTCCATTTCCTGGGTGCCAAATGTCTGGACCTGTGGGGAGCCCCAGGCCCTACATGTTAGATCTGCTGCCTGATCCCAGGGCATAGAGCCAGGGTGGGGGTGGGGGGACAGCACTGGACCCCAGGGCCAAACTCCAGTGTAAGGGGCCAGGAGAGAGAAGCACTGGGCCCCTGAGAACCAATCCTGGCACATGGAGGTTAGCAGTGGGTGGCTGTGGGCCTCTGGGACCCAATCCTGGCATGCAGGGTGGCGGGAAGGGGCAGTGCAAGGCTAGAGGAAGACATGGTCACAAGCCCTAGGCTGGCATCTTGCACTGATGCTAAGCAACAGATCATTTGGCCCCTGCACAGTCTCCTTCCCATGCACCATACAAGTCCTTTGCCCACTGCATGATGCACAACATATAATTCACAGCATAGGAATAGCACATGGGCGCTATATATAACCTCTCAGACTCAGTGTAAGCTTCTGCTGTGGCTTGTCTCCAGGATTTACAAAAGCCTTTTATGCTAAGAAATCATCAGGTGCTGATGTCCATAACAAATTAGGTCCGGACGAGGCCTCCCACTTCAAGTGCATCAGGTCAGAACAATTGCTTGCCAGTTCCTGTGCAGATGCACTGGTTGTGTTCTCTAGCTCATGTCTGTGTATTTTGACCACCCAGTAACATCCTCTTTTTGCCTTGCAAAGGGAAAATATGAAGAAAGATTCCTGCAAGATGAAACGATTTCCCAGCAGATCAATTCAGTTGAATCCTTACAAGAGCTGCATGCCGCCCCTGAAGAAGAGAAACCAAAGCAACTCCTGCAAAGGAAGCTGCATGTGGGGAGCAAGATCCCTTCCAAGCCTACCATCATTCGAGGCATCACTTATTATAAGGCCAAGTTCACAGACTCCGAGAATGACATTGAGGAACGTGAGTTGTGTTTGCAGTCATGTCCAGCTTAATGGCATCGGCTGTCTGGTCCTCTTAGCTACAACACAGGTACAACCCATTACCCAGTGACACTCCTTGGTCCCTCTCAGCAATCCATGCCGATCACAAGAATTGTCCCATTTTATGAAATATCACCTTGAGAACAGATATTTGTAAGTGGGCATGTACAAACATAAGGCTGGCCAAGACCTCAGGAGGTCCTCTAGCTCTGCTTCCCTGCTCAGAGCAGGGCTATCCCTGTCTAAACCATCTTGGGTAAGTGTTTGCCTAACTTGACCTTAGAAATTTCCAGTGATGTAGACTCCATGACTTATCTAGGTCAAGGGTACTCAGCCCACAGGCCAGATACAGCAGTTGCACCATTCCCTTGCTGCCAAATTTCCAGACCCAAGGGGAGCCCTGGCCTCTGCATGCTCAGATCAGGCACCTGCGAGGCCCCACAGGGCCTAGTCCTGGCTTGCAAGACTTGTCATGTCCCAAGGCCTGATCCTGCACTTGTGGCTTTTTGCAGCCCAGGGTTATTTCCTTCTGTGCTTAACCATTAGAAAGCTCTTCCTGAGATCCAATCTAAGTCTCTCCCTTATTGCAAATGAAGTCCATTACTTCTTGTCCTGTCCCCTGTGGACACAGAGCAGTTAATCGCTATGCTCTTTGCATTGACCCTTTGTTTTGTATACGAAAACTGTTATCAAAATCTCTGAGAAGCCAGATTGGTTCAATATTGTCTTTTATTAGACAAACTGAAGAGTTGGGAAAGAGATTAAATAAACTATTGGGTACAAAATGCTGTTCCTCAGGTATTGGAAAGAAGCAGATAAGATAAATACTAGGTAAAACAAAGACATTGGTTTGTCTCTGTTAAGTTAGTTACAATAGCCACTTCAAACAAAATAATCTCTCTCCCTACTATATAGTTGGTCCAGTAAAAGATTTTAGTAAGTACATCTTTCTTCTCATTGTCTTGACTGCAACAATGCTATAAGGGTACTGTTGGATCCTCCCTCTTGGAGAGAATCCAGGACTGGGAGTGGTTTACACCAGTCAGAGACAGGAACAGCAAAATGGTCCTGAACCATGAAGATTTTTGTTCTGCTCTCATACCTAAATGGTATTGGCTGCTCTTCAGGTGAGCTTGACCCAGCCCAGTCTTTGGTTGGCTGACTTCTTAAAGGAGCCATTGCAGAAGCTGGCTTGGAGTGAGCTCCATGGGGGATGTAGTCAGGAAGGCTAACCGTACCTTGTCATGCATCCACAGATGCATCACGAGCAGGTCCAAGGAGGTGATCCTCCCCCTCTATATGATATTGGTCAGGCCACAGTTGGAGTATTGCGTCCAGCTCTGGGTGCCGCACTTCAGGAGGGATGTTCATTGAGAGGGTCCAGGGGAGGGCCACCCACATGATCAGGGGGCAGCAGGGCAGGCCCTACGAGGAGAGGCTAAAGGATCTGAACCTGTTCAGCCTCCACAAGAGAAGCCTAAGAGGGGAATCTGGTGGCCGTCTACAAACTGGCCAAGGGGGACCAGCA